ATGTCATTGATCCCACCCCCTCCCCAGTCTTAATGTCAGCAAGGGCAGATCTGGTAGAGAATCCAGGCAGGCAGAGCAGCCAGGCCCTGGCCTTGAGCACCATGGCCAGTACCCAGAGGAGCCACAGGTGCCCACTACCAGCCCCAGCCCCTTCTTCCTACCTCATCCTGGCAATGGCTTCTGTGGAGCAGGGGTCAGGGGTTAGCACCTCATGCCCTACCACCTCTGCTGACTTTTAGGACGAAATCAACAAACAAGGTAGGCTTGGGGCAGTGAACTGTCTCAGCCCTGCTTCCTTCAGGAAGCCCTCCAAGCTCAGCTCAGCCCTTTCTGCGCTCCTGTAGCTCCAAGGTACAGACTGGAAGGAGCCAAGCAGCCCTTGGGGCCTGGTGAAGCTCTCCAGTACTATTCACAAGCCACCCCAGAACTTCCCCAGCCAGCAGAAGCATCTCTAACTGAGGGAAATCTTATGACTCAACCATCTAGGAATGCGGCCCATTTGCCCCCATTTTATAGGTGATAAGACTGAGGCTCTGAGAGGAGCTTGCCTTAGCTCCACAACAGTATTACAAACAGGTGAACACCATAGCCAGGAAGTTGCCTGAGTCTAAAGCCAGAAGCTTATATGTTCCTTGCATGCAAGGCAAGGTGCTAGGCAGAGGAGAGGGAAAATGTGACCAGGATGATCAGCAACAATGGTAATACTGGTGCCTATAGACAGGAGCTATCAGTGGCATGCCCACACGAAGCAGGCCACACTTGGTGTCCCTGAGATGGGTACAGGTATAATTCCCATTTAATGGGAAAACTAAGCACAGTGAAGTTACTTAACTCTAGTAATTAAGTGGGAGAGCAGAACTCAGACAGCACAGGCCTGGCCTTAGCCCCCAGAGCGCTATCTAACCCTGCAGCTACTCTGAGGCACAGTTCACCCCTAACCCCATGATAAATATAGCATTCAACCTCATTTTGGGGTCCCCTTGTCTAAGGCTATCCCACACAGTGCTGCCTCCCCCAACCCCAAGGGGTACCACCATAGGACTCTCTCAGGACACCTAGGCAGGTGAACAGTCCTCTCCCAGTTTGCAGGGCAGCCTTCCAGGATATCGAATGAGGAATCAGGCTGGCCTCCCTGCCTCCCTATGTGACCACAGACCCCTTCCTCTTTCTGGTCCCTCATCCTGCCCCATCAGACAAAGGCTTCCATGAAACCAAATCTCCATCTGTCCCCTCCCCAACAACTGTCACACAAATCTGAACGGGTGAGACGGTCTCTTCCCAGGGGTAGTTTCATTTTAACAGGTGGCTCTGGTAACCGAAAGACCCCAAGAACCCGGAGAAGTACACCTGCTCAAGATAAGCAATGAGGGTGACCCAGAGTCCAGGAAGCGCCCATTGCAACCCCCGGAAGGAAGCACACACTTTAGAGCCAGGCACTATAGCAGAAACCACGGTGGTGTGGGTTTTCCCCGAGGCAAAGGAGGCCGAGTTTCAGGGCCTGCTTACCTGAGGACAATGCCGCCAAGCTGAGAGGCAGGGGTTCTACCCTGGTCTGTCTGAAGGCCAAGGCCAAGGCACTGATGCTAGGTCCTTGCTCTGTAACCTCCCCACACCCCGCTTCTCTTGCCCCACAAAAGGAAAATGACTAATTAGCAAAGCAGTCACTAGCACCTACTTCAGTTTTAGGCTGCTCCGACTTGCAGCCCAGCTCTGCCGCTCTCTGGCTAAGCTACTTTTGCAAGTTCCTTTGTGTCTCTGAGTCAGTTTCCTCCTATGTAAATGAAGACAACAAGACCTATCCCGGAAGGCTGTTGTGAATGAAACATGACATAATCGACACAAAGCAGCTAGAACCGCACTTGGTGCAGGACACACATCCAAGTGTGAGAGAGAAAAGGTGCTCTGGAATCATGCTACCTATGAACTTTCACAGGAGGAAAGGCTGGCTTAGAAACTGAGCCTTCCCAACCCGGGCCACTTCCCTCCAAGTCTAAGATGTGATGAGATGCACAGATGGAGCAGCTTTGAGCAAGCTCCTTCTCCTCTCTAGTCCTCAGACAACTCCACTTGCAGATGGGATGCTGACAGCCACCTGCTTGGTCATTCAGGATTCTGTGAATGAAGCTGCTAAAGGTTCCGGTACTCACGGCTACTCTACTCCAAAGATCCTCAGCTCACATCACAGCCAGAGGAACAAGGTCAGGGTGGACCTTTAACACAGTGGCAGCTGGAGCATGGGATTTTGTAACCCTGCTTCGAGTGGGCATAGAGTGAGAAGGGTCACGGGTACACACACACACACACACACACACACACACACACACACACACACACACACACATACACACACATCCACCTTCTTCGTGCCCAGCAATTCTTAGGAAGCAAGCACTCAATCAAAGCAGGTAGCAGGTGCTCCTCCAGGCCACTTGCTGGACCAGTGGTGTTATATCACTTGGAGGCAAGACAATAGGATCTCAGCCCCACCCAAACCTCCTCAGTCACAGCCTGCAGTTAAAGCCATGTTACTTCTTTGTCTTGAAGGCAGGGCTGAGGAGATGGCTCAGCGAGTAAAGAGCTTACAACACAAGTGTGTGGATCTGAGTTCAAATCCACAGAGCCCACATGAAAGCTGGCCAGGTATGGTAACTCACGTCTGCAATCCCCATGACTCCTCTTGTGAAATGTGAGGCAAAGACAGGAGAATCCCTGGAAACTCACCGGGCAGCTAACCTGGTGTTCCAGAGGTGAACAACAAAGAGATCCTATCTCAAAGGTGCTGGAGGGTGAAAACCGACACCCAAGGTTGGTCTCTGATCTCCACCAGTAGGCCCGCGCACACACACACATAAATATATACAAAACAAAACAAAAAGCCCTGGAAGGTGTCGTGGGCTTGGCTCCCCTTGAAGTTGTCCAAGTCCCAGGTCTTGGGAAACCAAAGAATCTAGCAAAGGCCCCTGGCTCAGGTGAGATGCCCTGTCATCCCCAAGGCTTTTGCAGAGCTCACCTAGGAGAGACAGGGGCATGGAATGTCTGGCTTTTGTGTGTTATTTTCTTATCCCAAACATCCCTGGAACTAAAAAAAAAAATCCTCCTGTCTCAGCCTTCCAAACACCAAGAACTACAGGACCATGGTGCCTGGCTTAGGAGATGGGATTTTGAAGCCAGCCCTCAATGTGGGCTCTTCTCTCAGCTTGGCTAATTCCCAGCTAAGCTCTCTGCACATGTTTCCCCATCTGTACATGGAGAGGGCACTGGCTACCTCGTAAGGTCATTGCCAGGATGGACTGGCTGTGTGCCGTTATGCTGTGGAGGCTGGGCCCTCGGTAAACTCGAGCTGGTGACACTCAGCTACACAGGCTGGCCAGACTCTGATCACAGTGGTTCCTTCCCATTTCTGCCAGCTACAGCGGCATTCCTCCCCCACCATGACAGGAGATGTGCCACACCTCAGACGTGGCCGCCAACACGCTACCTTCCTGCTCCAGCATTGCCTTCTAACGTAGATACTGGTGCTAGCAGACCCAGTAATGAAGTCCTTTTCTCCAGGTGTGGAGTCTGAGGCCGAGGAGGAAATGACCTGCCACCATGAGCCAGGTGACAGTACTGGGGATCGCAATATATTGGTACTCCCCACAGAGCTGTTATAAAAGGGTAGGTGCTACTGAAGTGTGACCGGTCATTCATCTTCAGCTTCCATCACTCCCATCAGGAGAGGTGGTTCCCCTGACCAAGGGTGGAGAGAATTCAGACCATTGAGAGGAAAAGAAAGAAAGGCCTTCGGCGGCAAGGGGCATTAACTATGGTGAGGGGCACCAGACAAGATGTGCAGGAGGCGTGAGTTGGGCAAGAAGACTTGCCCTGCCCTTCTGGCCTCTAGCTTCTAACAGGAGGGGCAGAGTGAGTTCTCTATGGTAAGAGCAGGCCCACCTGCCCTTCCTCCCTGCCCCTCCAGACACATGTATGTTGCACACATACACGCTGGATTCTTACCAACGCCTTAGCAGTGCCCGCCATCACCACTCAACATCTGTTTCTTGGACAGTCTGAGGCTGACTGTCTCTGATTCCTCCCCCCGAGTCCTCCGTCCTACACTCTGTTGACCCATTCAATCTGCCTGGCTGACTGCTGGGTCTAGTGCCTCGCTGGACAGATTCTGTAAAGGTTGCAAACCTGGCCTTAAGGACCTGGACTCTCCCCGACTCTCATTGTTTCCAAGGAGCCACAGCTTGTGGGGAGAGAGGCAAGGGGTTCTCCATTGGGGTCAAGGGCCATGACCTGACCCCAGACAAACCCACTGTGGCCAAAGGCCCAGGGTGCATAAGAATTCCTCCCCAGCGCCCTGCTGTCTTGCTCCCCTTTCTGGCTTGGATCACAGATTTTTCCCACGGGTGCATCCACAAACCTAAGTTACCTGGTGCCAACAAAGCAATCATAACACTGAAGTATAAAGCCATTCACCGAACATTTAACAGCGAGAGACCCTGGGCCCCATTCTACTGATGTTCAGACATCAGGACCCCGCCCAGGCTCACACATCTACACAGCCCCACCCACTGGGCGCCCATTTGGCAGACAGCGAGGCTGAGACCCAAAGTGGACGCGGCGTGGGCAGCAGCCGAACCCGAAGGCCAGCTAGAGGCACCTCCAGGTTCTGAACGCTCCCTGCCACAACGTCCCTCACTCGACATCCCGGAAGCAAGCCCAGGCCTGGGCCGAGGGGAGAAGCCAGCAGGAGTCCTCCTATGCATCTAGGATGAAGACTCCCAGGGTTGGGCCCGGCTAAGCCCTGGGGCAAGCCCGGGGGCAGAAGCCGGGCGACAGAGCCCCTCCGCGCTCACTTTGGGCTTGTTGAAAGCGGGCGTCTGTGCCATGGTGCCGAGTGTGCACCCCGACGCTGATCCCTCTGCTGAAGCTCTTTGGGTCGGCGCTGGCTCGGTGGCGGGGTCGCGTCCCGAGGGCTCTCAGAGAAGGCAGACCGCCGCGCTCTTTTTTACCGGGCTGCCCTGGTCGGTCCTGCCCACTCCCCGCCCACTCCCCGCCCACACCGGAGACGCCGCCTGCCAGGGCTCGGGGCCCGCCCTTGGCCGTCCTGCAGCCCTGGCGCCCATTTCCCGGAGTGCTGGACCCCAGACCTTCCCGGCGGCTACACTCTGGATAACAGCCAGGTGAGCCCCCAGAAGGCGTGACCCCAGTGTCCCCGCCAAACCCTGGCCTCTTTCCGGCCCCTTCTGCACCGAGGCTTTTCACTGTTGCCTGGGTGCCTACTGTGTGCAGGCCGGAGCTGGAGGCACGGAGCCCCGGGGCTGGATCCAGCCCATGGGGCTGGATTCTGCGGGATAGACCCACTTGTTGCAGAATCCCAAGACGAAAGTGTGTAATTAGGGAGATTTAGCGGAGTCAACGACGACTGGAGCTCACCAGGTGAGGGCAGGTGAGATGCAGAGGACATTCGTTATGTGTGTGAGAGACTCCTGGAAACTAAAACTGAAAGGACACCAGGGTGGCTGGAGACACAGAGTTCATCTCTCCCGGGGCAGTCAGGCTGGAGAAACGTCAGGATGCTCACCTCGACTCTCTGGGGAAATACCCCGCACTGTCTGCTCCACGAAGTATTTTGTGAGTTTCAGCTGCAAAGCACAGCAGGTGTACTCAGACACAATACTGAATGGAGACAAAGAATAGGTAGAAGAAAACTCCACAGACTCTGGTCAACCTTGAGAACATATAAAAACACCCAAACTATGCATGTTTAGCTCTATGCACCAGCGAGGAGGATTGTAAAGCAAGGGAAACATACACTTAAGTCTAGGCACTGTGTCCCGGGGTGGGACAGGATAAATCTGTGGGAAGACTGGGGCACATGGAAACGTCAGAACTGGGCGAGGTGCAATCTCCTCTTTTCGTCTGTAAATAAACCGACCTATAAATCAGAGGGGAAAGTGGAGGTACGAGAGTGGAGGGCTGAGGCCAGCAGGCGAGGTGGAAGCTAACTCATATTACTGCCCCAGTGAGGCTTGGCCCTTCCCATGAGCCTGCTGCGAAGTAAGTGAAGGTTTGTCGATGGTTTCAGGACAGCATCCGCCTTTATTTGGAGAAATCCTCCAGGGGCGCGTCTAGAAACTTAGCCAGGTTGACGTCCCAGGTGAGCTGGTTAGAAACATACTCTTGGCTGAGGCCAAGGGGGCGCTGTATTCTAGCAAGATCCTTAAACAACTTGTGTGCACCTTGAGGTGGAGACACCGGGGCACCCTGACATGAGGGGACAGCATGAGAGGGGCCCCGGGGAAGGATCCAGGTGAGAGACAGTGGGACAGATGATAGATTCTGCATGTAAGCTGCAGAATCCGAATCTGGGATTGGGTTGCATGTGGGAGTGAGGGAGAGGGTGGATTGGATCAAAACGGTCTTTCTAAGACAGGGATGGTAATACATGCCTGTGACCTTAGTTACAGGGAGCTGAGGCAGGAAGATGTTGGGCTATTATTGAGATTATTGAGATTCTGTCTCAAAAAAGAAAAATTCCTAACACATTGTAGCTTTGTAGGAGATATTTTTGTTGTTGTTACTTTGGATACATGACACCACCACCATATGCGGGCACACCCTCAGTGGACAGTGTTGTGGAAGTGCTTTATAAACACCATCCAGTCCAATCTATCCCACACCCTGTGAAGTAGGAACCATTATCAGTCACAGATGAAGTCAACCGAGGCTGCAGGAAGACCCTGCCCACTGGGCCCAGGAAGATTAGTGCATTGCAGGGAGAGCTGGTACTTAAGGTTGATTCTGACTCTGTATCTGGGCCTGGGTTGTGCCAGTCAAGTCCTTCTCCAAAGTCAATCCAGCATGTTAGAGAAAGCCGGGGCCATGCAAATGACTTGCTTTCCACCAAAGGTGACAACTCTTTGCTGATTCTGTCTTTGTCTGATGGAGTCTAGGTCCTGGCTTCTTGCCCTGGGAGAGCCTGATGGACTTGCTGGTAGAAAGGACATGGCCAAGGAGGCAAAGGTCTTCCTTATCTGGAGGGGTCTGGGGCCCTTTTGACTTCCACTGGGGCCTCTTGGTTTTTCTCTCTGGGAACTTGAGCCACCAGAAGACACTGTCACTGGTGAAAAGTTCATGTTCAGCTAGTCCAGTCGGCTGTTGAGTCAAGCCCCACTGTCAGCCACCCCTAATCCCACCATCTGAGGTACAGTAAAGCGTCAGTGCCCCGTGGAGCCCAGCCATGTTCCTTACTCTCAAAGCTATAGCAGGTGTTTCTCATTGGCTACCGTGTTTGGGGGCAGGTACTTCTATCTGCCACAGCCCTCCAGCTTCTGTACCTCAGTGTGCTCCATCCTGACCAGATCTAGCAAAGTTTCTAGATCCCAGACTGTTGAAATTCTGCTCTCTAGGCAGGACCAAACTTCCAGGAAATAGCCGAGTTTTGGTTACAAGCCTTTGATTGTCCTCACCGCTGGGTACACAAACCGCCCTTCTGCCAAAGCAGCCTCATGGTGTACACACCACCATGGACTCTTGCCCGTGGCATAAGCAGAGAGGCAGAAGGTGACAGGATGGAGAAGCCAGGATGCTTATTCCCTCTGCTTCCCGAGTCATCAAAGAGAACTGTCTTTCTGGCAAGGCCATAACTTCTGGCAGGCTTCCACTCCTCCCCCCCACCCCCGCAGCTCCCCTCTTGCCCCTGTCTCTAAGACGATGGCCCCAAGAACTATATACTATGTGTGGCTGCTCTCCCTGAGCTATGCTCCTGGTGTTAGGGTTTTCCTAGACACAGCTCCCGAGACAAAGTTTGGGGTTTATTTGAAGAGATCTAAGGAAGCACCGTAAGAGGGATGCGGAAAAAAGACAGGGCAGTGAGAGAACTCAGTAGCAGGTAGGTGACCAGCCTGAGCTCTGGACTCAACCTCTGGCAGATGGTAGGCTATGCAGTTAATCCAACTGGGGGCCCGGGAGGGAGGGGCTTAACCACACACTCTCCTCCATTATCAGGTATGCTTGTGTGTATATTTTGCAGTACTGAGGACCAAACCCCAGACTTCTTGAGTGGCAGGCAAGTGCCCCCCCCCCCCCCCCCCCCCCCCCCCCCGCATCTCCTCTGGTATTATTTGAACCTCTTCCGTTAACTTTTTGGTACCCACAGTTCAACATAACCAGCTAAGTGTGCTTCAGTGACTGCGGGCCCTGCAGCAGAGAGACAGACATGGGGACATTCAGCTGTCATTGGGAAGTAGTTTTCACCATGTAGAGGGAAGTCCAGGTTACTTGGGCAGCACATGGGCATAGCCTGCACCTTTGTAGTGGGTCCGTCTGTTAAACTTTCCTCCATTACTCTCTTTGAGGGTGTCATCTGGTCCCTGCCTTGAGCTTCTCCGTACAACACACACCAGGCAGGAGCTGGAGGAGGGATGGAGAGAGAGGCCGTCCCCTAAATGCATTCTGCACACAGCACACTGCTTGTACTGAGATAGGTTCTCAAGCATACAGGAACTCTGGCTCTCCTAGCCTTCCTGCAAAACCAAGCTCAAGTCTAACCCCAACCAGAGTGGAGTGCTCATGCCAGTATTCCTAGTGCTTGGGAGGTGGAAGCAGGATTGTCACAAGATTAAGACCAGCTTGGGCTACAGAGTGAAACTGTGTCTCAATATATGTAAATCCAGTTCAAGCTAATAAGTTGCATTATGGGGCCTGCTTAGGAGTAATCTCTCCAGCTTTGCCAGGAGAGGCTTTGGTAATAACATCTCTGACGCCATAGTGAACAGCTCAATTAACAAAGTTTGTGTGGGGTTGGGGTGCAGTGGGGGTGCTTCACTTGAAAAACAGCTACAATCTGCCGGGTCTGGCTTTTAATCCCATCACTCAGCAGAGGCAAGCAAATCTCTCTTCAGTTCAAGGCCAGTCTAGTCTATATAGTGAGTTCCAGGACAGTCAGAGCTGTGTAGAGATCCTGCCTCAAACACTAAAATATTAAAAAAAGAAAAGAAAAAACCTACAATTCTTCAACAGTAATTACTGTAGCAAAGAGGATGTAACAAATACTGATGCCTGATCCCTGAGTTAGTGCACTTCTTCAATACTCCTGGGTGGGTGGTCCCCTCCAGTGCTCCTGAATCTGCAGCACTAGGGTATCAAGGTCATGTTTACTCCAGCCAGTTAGAAGAGGAGGTTTGAGGTAGCCAGGTTCAGAAGGAGCACATTTAATTCATTGTAGTAGAGTACAGGTGGATCGTGTGAAGAAGGAATGTGGTGGTGGTATGTGCCTGTAATTCCAGCACTTGGGAAGTGGAAGCAGAAGAATTGGGTCATCCTTAGCTATCTAGTGAGTTTGAGGCCAGCCTGGGCTACATGAGGCTTTTTCTTTCTTTTCTTTTCTTTTTTTTGGTTTTTTGGTTTTTCAAGACAGGGTTTCTCTGTGTAGTTTTGGTGCCTGTCCTGGATCTCGCTCTGTAGACCAGGCTGAGGCTTTTTCTTAAAAAAAAAAGAAAGAAAGAAAGGAAAAGGAAAAGAAAAGAAAATGTTCCATGAGAAGAATGAAATCATATCATTAGAAGGAAAATAGATAAGACCAGAGATCACCATGTTAAATTAAATAACTCAATTTAAAAGGAAAAGGAAGTCACACTTTCTCTCAAGTGCAGAATATGGAGGAAGAATTATCAGGAAGGAAGCTACTGGTGAGAAGAAGGTCAGGAGAAGGAGAAATGAGGAGGGTAACAGGGTGATTATGACCAGAGCACATTACATGTTCCCATTATCTGTATGACTAATGTACACGAATTAAAGAAGGAAGTCCTATGACTTTGACTGGCCAGTGACTGGGTTCATTTTCTCTCCAGATCTCCAGGCCGAGGCCAGGATCTGAGAAGAGTAAGCTTGCGTGTTGTGGGGTGTGTGATGGAGTGTTAGGGGAAGCTCTGGTCATTGTGATGTGCCTGGGATAGAGCGGAGCTGCATCTGAGCAGGGCCTTGGTGTCGAGCCAGGTTGATGGCTGCAGATGAGGATTTCCAGGTACCAATGTCAGTCCCCTGCATCTCCTAACTTCATACACGGTGCATTCCAATGACATCCACTGTTTACTGAGCACTTGTTTATTGGTTAAAATATTAAGGAACCCAGGGTTTGCATCTTGGCTCTGTTCTGATACCAGGTGACTGAGGAGTGTGG